ATAACGGCTCCTCTAACCCCAAAAACAATTCCATTGCACAATGGGTCCATAATTAGCCCTAATTACCCCACCCTATTATTATTTTTTTAATATAGTTAAATATACCAGAAATAATAAATAAAGTATAATAAATTCACGTACCATGAACCGGGGCGTTACACCAATCAAATTAATCTAATAGTCAAACTCAACTAGAAATCCTAAACATGCAAAACAACTTTACTCAAAAGCCTTAATGCATAACTTAATGGAGTTTAAAGTTAGGGCTTAACAAAATAATAATAAAAATGTATAAAGCTTCATTTCATGTCTTAGCCTAGGACTTCCCTTGACCAAAGTACCACAACCACCAACCATGGTGGCCTGTGGTGGCAGGAGCTGACTCACACTGGCGGTAGGAGGCTGCCAGTGGCGGTCCTTGGTGGTTTCACGGTGGAAAGAAGAAAAAGAGATGAGAAAAAGAGATGAAGAATTACCCAATAGCTAGAATGAGACTGGAACACTCCTCCCGACACCCTTTTCCCCTACAAGTAGCACCTCCGGTAACACCAAGTCCGATAGTACCCTCCTTCCGATCGCAACTGTCCTTCATGTTGACCCTTTTCTCGACCGACAAATGAAAATACACACATAATTTGGTCCTGGATCGATTAGGGTTAGATTAGGGCTTATAAACGTGTTTCTTGAAATCGTGGGCTGCCAAAAATCCAATCCCGATCTTCCCTAATTTATCCAGTCGAGTATAACGAAGAAAAACCTCGATTTTTTAATTTAGACCTTGATTTTTCCCATAATGACGGAAAATACCCTCAAACCAAATTTATTTTCACAGAAGGTTTTCAAGTGTGACACTTTTAGCCCCTAATTCTTCATTATCTTCCATTATTGATTCATGGATGTTATTTCATCTTAACTATTATTATTATTATTATTATTATTATTATTATTATTATTATTATTATCATTATTAGTATTATTATTTTTTCTTTATTTATTATTTAGCCACTTAATATTTATCGGATCTTTTTATTCGTTTTTATCACCGATAAAATTCCTTAAAACTATTCTCCTTAATTATATAATTATTAATTTAATTAACACTCGATTCCTGAATCACTTATCATAAAAAAATAGAGCATTATAGGTTGATGAGTTTCAGGCAATACATCAATCCTATGGTGTACATGCAAACCCTAATAGCTTTGGATCTAGTTTGTCTAATGAACATGCAATTGAATATCCAAAGCCATAAACCCCAGATCTAATAAACTATAACTGAAATTAGGGTTTAGATCTTACCTTTGATTGTTATATAGCAATAACAATCAATCCTTAGCTTCAGAAAGCTTAGTGCCTCAAGTGTTGCACCTCTAATGGAGTCACAAACACCACTAAGCAACTTGGATGAAGAGGGAGGAGAGAGGAGGCACCAAAAACGGTTGGAAACCCTAAAGGAAGTGTTCACCACGTTTTTGGGGCTTAAGGGTCCTTCATATACATGTAGGCTATTAGGGTTTACAACTAGGAAACCCTAATCTGGCTGCTTAGGCCCTAAGCAGCCTATGGACTCCTTTAACATATCCTTTGGACGATTCTAATGGGCTTCCCATAGAATTCGTCCAACCTATATATTATTAGGTGATCCATAGCCCAATTGTAATTATCTTATAATTACAAATCCAGTCCCCTAAGTTTAATTAATCTCTTTTAGCCACAAAATTAATTCTCAATTAATTATTGACTAATATCAATTAAACATTATGATTTCTCCTTTAATATATTATTCTTATAATATATTAATAAATCATAATTAAACCTTTCTCTCCTTAATTCATCCTACATATTGCTATGGTGAAGGCAACCCAAAAGGACCATGCTCATAATCGGGTCAAGTACATACCAAAATAGTTATGGACTTAGACACTAATCCAACAATAGGTTCATTTCCATTTCAATACATTTTCTATAAAAATAAGCCATGGTGACTTAAAATTACATATTGGAAAATTCTATTGTATAATATTTATGGTTTTTATATTATAGTATAATAGCTATGACCTATGATCTTGTAGCAAATTCTGTAGCGACATAGCTACGGATTTTGAGTCCGTAACAAATGTCGTAGCAAGCTAGCTACGGACTTAGATGCGGTAGCAAATTTTGTAGCAAAATAGCTACAGATTTTGATTCCATAACAATTTATGTAGCAAAGTAACTACAAACTTTAATCTGTAGCAACAGTTGTAGCAAAATACCTACGCCTTATAATTCTGTAGCAAATTTCGTAGCATGATAACTACGGACTCTGATTGCGTAGCAAAATTCTATAGTTATTCAAATATTAGCTATAGAATGCAATTTTGTAGTTAATTCCGTAGCAAATATACCTACGTCTAACTAGTTTGTAGTATATTCCATAGTAGAATAGCTATGGTTTTTAATTCTGTAGTAAAATTCCGTAGTTATTCAAATATTACCCACAGAATGTAATTCTGTAGCATGTTCCAAAGCAAAATAGATACGACAAGCCATTCCGTAGCATAATCCGTAGCAGAATAACTACGGATTTTACTTTCGTAGAAAATTTCCGTAGTTATTTCAACTTTTTCTTGTAGTGATTGTGAGTTGGATCAATCAAATCCAAAGCTATTGTCTCCCTCAAATGTATCATAATCAAGCAAAGAAATGTTTCATTTAAAGGATTAGGCTTTAATATATCAAATCTACGAAGAAGATCTACAAAACTAGTACTTGTAGATGACATTATTTGTTCATGGGAAAATTTCCAACTTCAATAAATCCTTAATCCCAATAATTTTCAAAATTCTCATCCTCATCTAGACTTGAATCACTTATGTCATGTGCAATATTAAATTGCTAACCAAATTAATAACATAATGCGATATTCAACTTAAATGATGTTTTTTCAACTCCAATATGTGCATAACGTAAATCTATAAATTATTTATATATAATTTTATGCCTAACAGTATATTGAAGTAGTCAAAGTTGTATAGTCACCCTTTATGAAACCATTCTCATATTCAGTATTATCACCTCAGTAAAATCTAATCATAAACGGACGATCTTGAGTCGATATATATATATATATATATATATATATATATATATATATATATATATATATATATATATATATATATATATATATATATATATATATACATATATAGAGAGAGAGAGAGCTAGGTTCATTTGTTTAAACTAAGTATTGTGTTATCGTATTCATAAATGTGGGCCAAGAATTTGTTAACCGTATTCTATAAGAAATAATGTATTTTTTGTTTTTTTCTTCAATTGATTGTTCAAGAATTGTTTATTCTACAAGAAGTTCAAGAATTTATGGTTCAAGAATATTTTTATTTTTGAGTAAATAATTAAATAAATAGACATATTCTGTCAGAATGTCCGAATTAAAATAGTTATAATTTGTAAAATCGGATTTTTAAAATTAATAGAATCTATGATCTCTTAAAATATGCAATTTTCCTTTATTAAATTATTTTAATTCAATAATATATATTAATCACTTTCTTAAAATAAGTAAAATTGATTGACCCACAGTTATGAATACAATAACACAATAATTACTTTGAATAGAATAACCTAGCCTATATATATATATATATATATATATATATATATATATATATATATATATATATATATAGTATATATATATATATATATATACACACAAATCTAAATGTAGAATAAATCATAAGATAAAAAGAGATATAAATCACTATGGGATAAATGAATGATGAAAATGAAAGAAAAATGAAAGAACCTAAGCTCAAATATCGTGTGAGAATTTCGCTGGAAGGGATGACAAAACTAAGTATAAGAATCATAAGTTATAATACTAAAAGGTTAATTAATTTTACATTACATTTTTAATTATTTTTATTGAGTTTTCATAAACAATGACAAATAGGTTTGTAAAAGAGATTGCTTTTACAATTGAGTTATCATCTACAATGACATTACAATAATGATAAAAATATATTTTGGATATGACCATACCTATAAAAAGTGCCCTTACATATATTTAGCTGACAGATATCATCCATTTCAGACAATTCATTAATTTCGAACGTTTCAAACTTAATATTTTGTTACATTTAATGACTAAACGATAAAGAAAGAAAACACCCTTACGAATGTTACGATTTAGTGTTAATTCATATTATAATTTTGTGCTTAATTTGTATTGTAATATCATTTTTAGACGATCATATAAATTCTTGAGATTATAAGATATTCAATATTGGTATGTACTTGAAGGTATTTGTTAAGAGCGTGTTTGACACGAAGCTTTTGGAAGCGTTTGGGAGCTTCTATCTTTTAACTTTTGACAAAACGCTATAGTTTAAACAAAAAACATCGTTTGGCAGTACGGGTATTTAACTTTTAGTTTAAACAAAACGCTCCAAATCTAAAAGCTACTCCATGTAGCGTTTAACAAAACGCCACTGAGTTTTTGAAATCAATTTTCTTAATCAGCCTTATATATATATATATATATATATATATATATATATATATATATATATATATATATATATAAACAATTGTATTTTTATGTAATTTTATATATTTCAAAAGCTTTCAGTTAATTTTGCCAAACAATCATATAAAAAATAAAAGCTATAACTTCCCGTTACCAGCTACCAACTACTCGCTACGCGCTATCTGCTTTCAGCAAACAATTACTTTTGCCAAACACGCCCTAAATCTATTTAATGATATAAGTTGTTAAAATAGTATATAAATTATAATAGTATATTTCGAATAAACTAATCTAAAAATAATAATATATATATATATATATATATATATATATATATATATATAAGGGTTAAAACATAATTATTCAATAATAAAAGATATAAACAAAAAATAGGTAAAGTGTTATAACATTTAAAGGTAACAAATGCAATTATTTAAAATTATTTTGGAATAAAAAAGTTATATAAATGGTAGGTCTCCTAAAACTAACATATTCTACAAATGATTTCAAAAAACAACCTACTTCTATAAAAACTCCGAAAACCCTACATTTGTTGATTCCCCTACATGTGTATGTTTATTCATTTCTCTCTCATTTTTTCCATTTTTAAATTTCAAACACAATATTCATTTGATAAATTTAATTTCCTACGGCAACACCATAGTTGGAATTTGTTGCAATAATGATGCTTGAATTACTATATGACGTTACAACTTGTTTGTTAGGGTGGACATTCGGACCGGTGAGACATGGACCGACACCGGAGTGGTACCGGTTTTATGTAGAATGTTCGGCTTTAGGTTCTTGGATCGGCTATGTTTCGGTTCCTTTTTTTTAGCCAGGTGGGTTTGGCGGTTTTGTGGGTATTGGACCGGTTTGGACCGAAAATTGAAGAGTAAGTTTTTATGTGTAATTTTTAAAATTTTGAAAATTACATAACTCATTCGTTTGAAGATTGATATGAAATCTTTTTCATTATGCAATTTATAGTTTGTACTTCATTTTAGGCTATAGTTTCATCATTTTTGGTTCCATATCGAATGAGTTATAGTCTCTTGAAGTCGGGGTATCAAAGTTGAAAATTTTTCAATTTTTCAGTTTTAACATATAGTATGTGAAACTTTTTAAAATTGCATAACTTATTCATTTGATGTTAGATTGAAACGAGACTTTTACGACATATAGTTTATAGTTTGTACTTCAATGTAGGCTAAAATTTCAGCACTTTTGGTTTCATATTGAATGGGTTATAGACCCCGCAAAGTCGAGGTATTAACGCTAAAAGTTTTTCGCTACTACTTCAATGACTTATACCATACACAACGATTGTTGAATTGGTCCAACGAGTCCAAGAATCAGAACCGATACCAACACCGGTATGTGTCACTAGGTCCGGTCCATGATCCAACGGATTCTCTACAACCAGTTCTAGACGGTATGGTCCAACATTTCTAGTCTAAATGCTCACCACTACTTGTTTGTAGGAGTATATTTGAAATATAATAGATTTTTTGAGTTTATCTCCTTATAGATATTCAGTACACATATAATTAATTAAGTTGGAGTAAGTCATGAAACAAATTTCTATTTTTCTAGCTAATCCTTTTTAAAAGTATAAGAAGTACTGGGCTTGAATGGGAAGAATACACATAAGGAATGGAAGGCCAAAATGCAATTACTGTTACGCTGAAATTCACAGTAATTGAAATTGGCAAACTTAATGAAATTTTATCAGCAAAGGAAGGCCGAAATTTAAAACCTTATTGAATCGATCACAAACTGAATCTATATATCAATCTCATTATTTGTCTTGTTTTCTATTAATTTGATTCCAACAGTAATATGCTAGGATGAATACAAGGCCGAGTGGTATTAGACCGGAGGGTATGAGAGGGATGTTTCCCTCACTTTTTGTGGGCCACACCACCCTTTCCCTAACTTTTCTTTCCCTCACCTAAAACCCAAGGAATGGGTGGCAAGCTCCCCTCACTATTTTTTTATAAAATATATTTCATACATATATTATACTCATTTCGTAGGAAATTAAAAACCATAAATTTTGATATAATTTTTATATTTTTTTAATAGGTATATAATTTTATAAATATTAAAAAAGATAAAAAAAAAGGGAAAAAAAACTGTCTAATAGCATGAAGAGAGAGAGAGTGCGGCACCCCCTCCCCCATCTCTTTCCCGCGGGTTGCTTCTCTCGCCCAAGGGATGGTGTTCCAGAGTGAGGGAAGCTTCCCTCACCCCTTTCCCGCTATGATACCGTCCGGCCTTATAACAAATTTGCAAACAAGCTATAATAAATATTTTTATCATTACTTATTTAAAATCATTAATATAGCTATAACATATATTTTTATTGAAGATCACATCTAGATTTTCAAGGCTATATACATGTATAAAATAATTCATACGGGTCAATCCATTAGAAAAGAAACACTATTCGTCTGTGTATACATCGCTTACTTGTTTCTTTAGCAACGAAATACTATAAAAATTAAGATTATTAAGAAAGAAAAGTATTGCTAAATCAAATAAATTAATGAAAAGATGGGAAACTATCGCTCTATTTTCGCAAAAACGTAAAGTTAAATAATATCAAAAAATTTAGGCAATTGTGAAATGATTTTTGATGAATCAATAACAATTTTCTTAAAAATAACACAAAGTATTATCGTTAGAAAGGTTTTTAAAATCAAAATTCGCACTTCAATTAGCAACGCAATTTGTTGTTATTTGATTAAAAAGTTTGAGAAAAAACCGATCTAGCGTAATGTAAAATATATTTTCCTATATATGTGTATACTTGTATATTTAGATGTTCATATAATACTTTTCTAATTTAAACAAGAAAAACAATATAAATCATTGCTCTCATTTTCTCTCCTTAATTATATTCAACCTTTGTCATGGCTACTGCAAATTATTTATCCGCGATTAGTACGATGATGATCATCTTCTTTGCTTCCTATGTCTCGACAGATCCTGATATGCTTCAAGATGTCTGTGCTGCAGATTTTACCTATGGTAATTTGAATTCCTACAACGATTTCATTTTTAATACTTTGTATTTATCTTTAGATATGTTTAATTTCTTTAGGGTTTAAGGATGTGAAATTGTAACAAAGTAACGTTGACGTCTATGAAACATGCAGGCGACGCAATAAAACTGAATGGATTCCTATGCAAAAAACATGCATCATCTGATGATTTCTTCTTTTCCGGGTTAGCATATCCAAGATCAACCGACAACACATTTGGAGCAACACCGACTCTAATCACTGTCCTAAACATCACCGGCCTGAATACCTTGGGGATGGCGGTATCACGTATTGACTTTGCTCCGGGAGGCCTGAATCCACCGCACCTCCACCCACGAGCCAGTGAGATATTTTTTGTAATAGATGGTGAACTGGAAGTCGCATTCATAACAACAGAAAACAAACTTTACTCTAAGTTAATCAAGAGTGGTGAACTATTCGTACTCCCTAAAGGGTTGATTCATTTCCAGATAAACAAAGGGAATGATAGTGCTGTAGCCATAGCTGCCTTCAACAGCCAGTTTCCAGGTATCCAAAGGGTGCCAAATGCTTTGTTTGGATCATATCCCGATGTGCCAAATGATGTGTTGGCTAAAACATTCGGGATTGGAATCAATCAAGTGAAGAAAATTAAGTCATGGCTTAATTCCTAAAAACTAAAATTACTAGTGCATGCGTAAATGTGTGTTGAGTTATGGGATCTTAAGTATTTCTATGTGTTGTTTGGTTATTCATGAGGACTGTTGAATCTTTGGAAGCTGAATGGTTTGGTGGTTCACTGTTTGAACCCATAAATAAAACACACATGATGTTACTTAATTTAGGTCTTTTATAATTAAGTCTCCATGTTCTCTGATAGCTAATATAATAAAACAAGCGACTTCTTGTCTCTCAGTCATTTTTTAGATTTTTGATTTATGAATTCAGAAATTCCATATTCATTTAGAAAAATATATACTATATAGATTATATGTACATGGAAACATTATAAGTCCTCTTATAGATTATAAGTGCTCCAAACCATGAATTATTATTATTATTATTATTATTATTATTAATAGAAGTAGGTTGTTTTTTAAACTATTTGTAAAAACAGGTTAGTTTCAAAAATAGTTTGTAGCCTTTCAATTTTTGTCTTATTTTTTATCTACATCTTTTGTTATTGACTGATTCAGTTTTAACCTTTATTATATATCATACCTAGATTAATTTATTTAAAATAAATTATTATAATTTATTCAAAATAAATTATTATAGTTTATATATTATTTTAAATAAGTTATATCATTAAACCTTCAAATAGATATCAATATTAAATAGATTACAATGTCATGAGATTACAAGATTAATTAGAAAAGATATTACAATTCATATAATTAAGCACATAATTACAATACAAACAAAACACTAAATTACAACATTAATTAAAAAGATTACATAGTTCATATCGCATTAAATCTGCGTTACGAATTTGAACAATTTCTTTTATTATGATCAGGTTGATGGCATATTTCATATCTGTGAAGTTAGTCAGGATGACGAGTGTTCATTTTGTTACAAAATTGGTTTGTACATCTAAGACCTCAATGAACACAAAGTTTTGAGTTATCTGTTATATATATATATATATATATATATATATATATATATATATAATATATATATATATATATATATATCATAATAGTGTACAAAATATTTACAATAGAAAGAGGGCTATCCATTCTATAACTGAAAACTACAACAACATAAAAACAAGGAAAACTTTTCATTTGTCACTTACCATATGTTCATGTTTGTTGAGAGTAATGGATAATGTGCTTCCTTTAGTGTTATTTATCTGTAACTTTGTAACAATTTTGTAGACACCTTCATTGTGGTCAAAATTGGTTATATCGTGGCTTTGTGCATGCATTTTTTGTTTAACAAAGAGATGTCCCGTGCTTGATGGTAGATGTGTATTGCAATTCATTGTGATATCATAGTATTTTCTAAAAAGTTGTATAGTTCTCATGAATGTAAGATCAATACACATCCTAATCGATAACTGTCTTGCTCCTCTTAATACATTGTTCATACTGAGGGATATTTGTTGTCAAGAAACCCGATGGACGGCTTTCATCATATACAAGACACTACCGACTTCTCTTAATTTGCTTTAAATTATGCAAGCTTCATAATTGACTTTTAATTTTTTTTTTCACGTATTTAACAAACTTTTGATTTTACGTGGTGTTGCCAATAACCCAACATTTTTTATAAGACTCAAATTCTTGTACATTTGCATGAAAATTACTTCCAATATGTCAAATGACTTTCTCCTACCGTTTCATGCCTTATAGGAAACATCAAAACTTAAGACTATTTTTAATATCTAGTCATATATGTTTCACTAGATAAACAATATCCTTTTCAATTGAATGAAGGATATATGAGACAATAGTTGCAAAGTCTAGATATTTGTTATTATTTCTGATACATGATCCAAAAAACTTATATGCATCCATCCAACATGTAATCTTCCACTTGTGATATTTTTTTTCTTAGTTGCACGAACATAGCATACACACTGTGGTGTATAGTGCTCAACACTAGACTTTTCTCATTCATTTCCTAGAGTCCTACACTTTACTACCCATATGTTAGGCACTTAGACTTACTATCATACACTTTGAACTCTCTATTTTGGGCGATAAACCAAAGTGTTACTACCTTTTTTACTTGTACCTTACGTTCAAATTGAATTTCTAATCTATGTTGTTTTACGATTCCTTTGAAACATCTATATAAATATGGTCTTCCAAATCGCTTATATCATTGTCTCTTACATCTCCAACATTATTCATAAAGTTTATAAGTGAAGTTTTACATACATACATCATCATCATCATCAAAATCTTTCTTAACATTACATAATGGCTCATTACTAGTATCGTTGTTATATTCTGGAAAAAATTGCAAGAATAATCATGTGGTTTAGTGAAAATTACCACTTT